TTTGGCGATGGTCATTACATCACCCATGCCTTTGTATTTAAATGAAGCTTGACACATAGTCACAGCCAATTCAACCTGAAAGTTATTACTTCTGCTGCTTCAGGCACTTGTCTGAAGCATTTTTTATTAACCCTGTACTTGTACTTTACCCACCATTAAAGTGGGGGAAAGTAATATCCCAAGTAGTTGAGTTGAGCTGCTGGTTGTTAGATTTAAGCTGGAATTACTCCAGGGTTGTATGTGGGGAAGCAGTTGCTGTCTTGGGATGCCTGGAGTGGGAGTGGGTGTTTTCTGTTTTTTATTTTTGGTTCTGTTTTTTATTTTTATTTTTACTTATTTTTGAGATGGAGTTTCATTCTTATTGCCCACGCTGAAGGGCAATAGCACCGTCTCAGCTCACTGCAACCTCTGCCTCCCGTGTTTAAGCGATTCTCCTGCCTCAGCCTCCCATGTAGCTGGGATTACAGGTGCCCACCACCACACCCAGCTAATTTTTTTGTATTTTTAGTAGAGAGGGGGTTTCACCATGTTGGCCCAGCTGGTCTCAAACTCCTGACCTCGGGTTATCCACCTGCCTCGGCCTCCCAAAGTGCTGGGATTATGGGCATGAGCCACTGAACCTGGCTGTTTTTTTGTTTGTTTGTTTTTGTTTTTGTTTGATAAGAGTCTTGCTGTGTCGCCCAGGCTGGAGTGCCAGTGGGCAATTTCAGCTCACTCGGGTGAACCACCACATCCGGCCTGTGATTGGCTCCATTTTGAGTGATTACGTGTGAACCATCCAGAACCAGCTCTGAGCAATGGTGTGGTTTCCCTCCTGCCCCGCTGGGGCCATACCAGCCCCTCTCCAATGGGAGCCCAAGTTGCCAATGACTGTGGCCAAACTCCCCCATTTTTGTCTGTATCCTGCTCTCTTTAGGTTAAAAAGAAGGACAGAAACATGAAAGGCCATGTGCAATTTATTTTTACAACTCAAGGAGTTTCCCCGACTACCATTTTTTTTTTTTTTTTTTTTTTGCCAGTGGGTGTGCATATAGAAGAGGAATGCCATGTCCTGTCCATAGAAACACACATGGTGGTGAGGCATGTTGGCTCATGCCTGTAATCCCAGCACTTTGGGAGGTTGAGGTGGGAGGATTGCTTGAGCCCAGGAGTAGGAGACCAGCCTGGGCAACATGGCAAGACCTGACTCTACAAAAAAAAATTTTTTTTCTTTTTTCTTTTTTTTTGAGAGAGCATCTCACTCTGTCACCCAGGCTAGAATGGTGTGATCTTGGCTCATTACAACCTCTGCCTCCCAGGTTCAAGCGATTCTCCTGCCTCAGCCTCCTGAGTAGCTGGGATTACAAGAATGTGCCACCATGCCTGGCATATTTTTGTATTTTTAGTAGAAACAGTTTCACCATGTTGACCAGGCTGGTCTCGAACTTCTGACCTCAAGTGATATGCCTGCCTCAACCTCCCAAAGGGCTGGGACTACAGGGGTGAGCCACCACGCCTGGCCCAAAATTTTTTTTTAAAATTAGCTGGGTACAATGACAGGCACCTGTAGTCTCAGCTGCTTGGGAGGCTGAGGTGGGAGCAGCACTTGAGCCCAGGAGTTTGAGGCTGCAGTAAGCTGTGTTTGTGCCACTGCACTCTGGCCTGGGCAAAAGAGTGAGGCCCTGTCTCACACACACACACACACACACACACACAGAAAAAAGAAATACAGGTGGTGTTTCGGGGAAGGGCAGGTTCTGCTGGGGTCCTGAAACTGTGACTGATGGCCTCAGGAGTCCAGGAATAGGCCTTCTAGCACAGCAGCTAGTAGGGCTCCCCCAAGCCATCCACTGGCGTGTGGAGGCGCAGGACCTGGGGGAGGCAGTCCCCACCCCAGCTAGGTCAAGGGGTAGGGTTTTTAGGTCTGTTTTTAACAGAGCTCTGAGCACCAGGTGAAGGTGGAAAGTTGGTAAACTGGGAAAACAAGGTCAACATCTTACATTTTCTGTTCTCAGCAGAGCGTGCCATTCCCAGTTTCTGTCCTGAGGCTTTCAGAGGCCTGTACAGCAGCCACATTTCTTTCCATCTTCCCTCAGCCAGTACAGTCATTTAAAATTCTTTGGTGGTTCTGAAGATCCTTTTTTTAATGTATAATTTTTACATGAAAGACAGCTGCAAAATGCAAGCCCCAGTAGAGTAGGGGAGTTTTTCAAGGCGAGAAGTTGCTGTCCTCTGCATCGAACATGGATTGATTTTTCCTTGTCTGATGGTAGCCCCCGGCCCCCGCCCTGTGGGGATAACATTCTCAGTAGCTTCTCTTGTCCTAGCCCCTTCTCATTTCAAAAATAATATGTCTTTTGTTTTCCTTTTTCTTTCTGTTGTTGTTTTACAGCTTTTGTAGAAACCAACCCAAGTAGATGCCGGTGGGTGTTAGATAAAAACACACATCCCCAGGGCACAAGCCATCCAGCGGTGAGGAATCTCTGCCATGCTCTCTTCCCTACTGTCCACAAATGTTACAGAGACTCCCTTAGCCTCCCCCTCCTCTCCCCCACTGAGGGGCGGCTTGTGGAGATGGAGGACTCGGGCCCATAGATGCAGACCCCCTGCATCTATGCAAATCTAGCAATAGCTCTCACCCTTCCAAAGCTCGAGTGCCATTTTGAGATGACCTACCAATGACATACAGTAAGGGACATAACCTCACAGCCTTTTTAGAAGCATTTTGAATATCTACAGTTGCCTCAATTCACTGGGCATTTCACTCCTCTGAACCAGGTTAGAATTTTGCTATATCTGTAGCATCCTGAGTAGCACACTAATTTTAACTACATTAGTTGAATGTAGTTGATACATCTGTGGCCTCGTCATGTCTGTAAAGACCACACTAGATTGTACTCAGCAGTGTTAGGATATGACATGCTAATTAGATGTATTTATTCCCAGGAAAGTGTATGATAAATGACTGTAATATTTCTAATAAATATATTTTGTTTCTGATTTTTTTCTCAGTGACATTTATCATTAATATTTTTTCAAAGTGCCATGCTTACACTGAGTGTTTTCAAACCAGCATCTTCATGCATATATTCTGTGCTGGGTCACAATCTCCACGGCAGCTGCTCTTGCGGGTGGTGCTGGAATTTTCGGCAGAGGACTGGGCTCCTGCTGGCTCCTCTGCTTCCCGTGTACAGCTTTCTTGCTGAGGCCACAGGCTCATATGAAGATCACCCTTCAAGGCCTACCCAGGACACTGCTGAGCTGTGCAGATGTGCACACAATATGTGCAATGTCATACGTGTGACTAAATGCCAACCGAGACCCCAGAAACCACTCGCAGGGGGAATTATGCCAAGATTGAGGAGGCAAGGTGAAGAACTTTTTTTTTTTTTTTTTTTTTGAGACGGAGTCTAGCCCTGTCGCCAGGCTGGAGTGCAGTGCCACAATCTCGGCTCACTGAAACCTTCGGGTCACTGAAACCTCCGCCTCCTGGATTCAAGCGATTCTTTTGCCTCAGCCTCCCGAGTAGCTGGGACTACAGGCACATGCCACCACACCCAACTAATCTTTGTATTTTTAGTAGAGAACGGGGGTCACCATGTTGGCCAGGATGGTCTGGATCTCTTGACCTCAGGATCTGCCCGTCTCGGCCTCCCAAAGTGCTGGGATTACAGGCCGGAGCCATCAAGCACGACGGAAGATACTTTTTTAAACGATTGCTTCCTTACCCCTCCCTAGTTCATGTTTTCTTATACATAGTTACATTTCTTCCTTGCTATACTACAAATCCCTAATTTTCATTGGTCAGAGAGATGGATTTGAGACTGAGCTCCCATCTCCTCGGCTGCTGCACCTGACTAAAGCCTTCTTCCTTGGAAATCCTCATCTCAGTGATTGACTTTATGTGGGTGAGCAGCTTAGGATCTAGGCTGAAGCCCTGAGGCTTCAGTGACAAAATCTGTTTTTCATAATGCTATCTGTCTTAATTGTCCTCAAGAATTCGTATTTGAGTGCTCTCTAGATTCTCCTTTGTCACTTTTTCGTTTTTTCTTTTTTCTTTTTTTTTGGAGACAGTCTTGCCGTGTAGTCCAGGCTGGAGTTCGGTGGCGCGATCTCGGCTCCCTGCAACCTCTGCCTCCCAGGTTCAAGGGATTCTCCTGTCTCAGCCTCCCAAGTAGCTAGGACTACAGGCGCGTGCCACCACGCCCAGCAAATTTTTGTATTTTTAGTAGAGACAGGGTTTCACCATGTTGGCCAGGTTGGCCTCGAACTCCTGACCTGAAGGGATCCGCCCGCCTTGGCTTCCCAAAGTGCTGGGATTACAGGTGTGAGCCACCGTGCTCGGCAGTCACTTTTCTTAAATTTCATTGGTGCTGGCGGGCTGCACAGTCAGGACCGACTAGAGGCGAGCAACCCCGGTGGCACCTGGCCTTCCCCGACCCGCCCGAGTCGCCAGCCTCACTGCCCCTGGGCAGATGTGCGCGGCGGCTGCGGCACAGGGTGGCAGCGGCTGCTCGGCCCCATCCTAAGGCAGTGGAATGCCCAGAGCTGGTCCCTGGCTCCAGGCGCAGGCCGAGTAGAAACTAGGCGGGCAGCGGCGTCGGACTGCCCTTGCCGCCTGGTGGACAGCCGGCTCTGACCCAGCCATCCGACTCCGCTTGCATCCTGGCAGCGCGGATCCTGGGACAACTTCGCTGCGGTGGCCAGGCCAGGAGCGGCCAAGCGATGGCGGCACAGGAGCGGGAACTGGCTGGCACCCCTGAACAGAGCAAGCGGAGGAGCAGGTGCGCCAGCGGCTCTGTGAGGCGTCACTCATGACAGGCAGGCTGGGCGCTGCCTCCCCGAACCCTCCCAGGGACCACCCGCCAGCCCAGGCCGGCGCCGGAGCTGCAGCGCCACCTGCAGGCCAAGGAGTTTTTTTGGGGGAGGCTGGAGCTACAGTTGCAGTGACATCACAGGTGCGCAGGCGCACTGGTGTGTAACGGATTGGCTTGTCCTTATCCGCGTGGCTTGGCCTTACCCGCGAGGCTTGGCGGTCGTTGCTTGGCTTGGCGGTGCTCGCTTGGCTTGGCGTGGCAGTGATCGCTTGGCTTGGCATTTCTGGCTTGGCGGTGCTCCTTTCACAGATTGGAAACCGCGAGCTTTCCTGCTGGGAGGTTGTGGCCGAGGCAGTAGCTCTCTACTGATGACCTCCAGGGGTGGAGAAAAGCGGGGAGGGTCTGAGGGGTCTCCGAAACCGACAGTCTCCGCCATGAGGAAGACCCCTAGCGTCGGGAGCGTCCGGAGCCAGGAGGACCAGTTGTCCTTAAGCTACCGGGGGGACCGGTGGTCCTCAGACTCCAGCTGGTTAAGCGACAGCGCGGGCAGCGACAGCGAGCACGTTGAGGGCGCCTTAGACCAGCCCCAGCACGACGTCCGCCTGGAAGATCTCTGCGAGCTCCACAGAGCTGCCCGGTCAGGCGACGTCCCCGGGGTGGAGCGCGTCCTGGCTCCTGGAGACCCTGGCGTGAACAAGAGGGATAGGAAAGAGAGGTAATGGCCAGGCGAAGGAGGCACTCGCGCCGTCCTGTTGGGGACCCTGGCTTTCTGGTGCCCGCAGGCCCCATGGCACCCGGGAGGGGAAACCTCAGAGGGGTCAGGGGCCCAGGTCTCTTAGTTAGACGGGAGAACATATAAATGATTATTACTATTGCAAATGTGTTGCTTTACTTTACAGCAGTTTTCTTGAAAAATATTGTACTTCCCCGCAGTGGAGCTTGCAGTGAGCTGAGATCGCGCCACTGCACTCCAACCTGGGCAACAGAGCGAGACTCCGTCTCAAAATAATAAATAAATAAATAAATAAATAAATAAATAAATAAATAAATAAATATTGCACTTCCCGGCCGGGCGCGGTGGCTCACGCCTGTAATCCCAGCACTTTGGGAGGCTGAGGCGGGTGGATCACGAGGTCAGCAGATCGAGACCATCCTGGCTAACAACAGTGAAACCCTGTCTCTACTAAAAATACAAAGAATAAAAATTAGCCGGGCGTGGTGGCGGGCGCCTGTAGTCCCAGCTACACGGGAGGCTGAGCCAGAAGAATCACGTGAACCCAGGAGGCGGAGCTTGCAGTGAGCCGAGATCGTGCCACGGCACTCCAGCCTGGGCGACAGAGCCAGACTCCAAACAAAACAAAACAAAACAAAAAACAAAAAAAATTGCCCTTCCCAAATGTGTTTATCCATTTTCTCAATTTATTGAGAATTTATTGAAACATAAGCTGAATACCTATTATATAGCAGACATGTTCTACTTTCGCTCAGGTTCCTTCCGTCCTTAAAAACTTAATGTTGGCACAGTGGCTCATGCCTGTAATCCCATCACTTTGGGAGACCGAGGCAGGCGGATCACTAGGTCAGAAGTTCGATACCAGCCTGATGAACATGGTGAAACCCCGTCTCTACTAAAGACACAAAAATTTTTTTTTTTTTTTTTTTTTTGAGACGGAGTCTCGCTCTGTGGCCCAGGCTGGAGTGCAGTGGCTGGATCTCAGCTCACTGCAAGCTCCGCCTCCCGGGTTTACGCCATTCTCTTGCCTCAGCCTCCCGAGTAGCTGGGACTACAGGCGCCCGCCACCTCGCCCGGCTAGTTTTTTGTATTTTTGTAGTAGAGACGGGGTTTCACCGTGTCAGCCAGGATGGTCTCGATTTCCTGACCTCGTGATCCGCCCGTCTCGGCCTCCCAAAGTGCTGGGATTACAGGCTTGAGCCACCGCGCCCGGCCAAAGACACAAAAATTAACCAGGCATAGTGGCATGCATCTGTAATCCCAGCTACTTGGGAGGCTGAGGCAGAAGAATCGCTTGAACCCAGGAGGCGGAGGTTGCAGTGAGCCAACATCGCGCCACTGTACCCCAGCCTGGGTGATAGAGTAAGACATCGTCTCAAAATAATAATAATAATAATAATAATAATAATAATAATAAAACTGTTGGCCGGGCGTGGTGGCTCACGCCTGTAATCCCAGCACTTTGGGAGGTGAAGGTGGGCGGATCATGAGGTCAAGCATGGAGACCATCCTGGCCAACATGGTGAAACCCCATCTCTATTAAAAATACAAAAATTAGCTGGGTGTGGTGGTGCGCGCCTGTAGTCCCAGCTATTCTGGAGGCTGAGGCAGGGGAATCGCTTGAACCCGGTAGGCAGAGGTTGCAGTGAGCTAAGATTGCGGCACTGCACTCCAGCCTGCTGTCCAGCCTGAGTAAACTGAGAGATTTAAAATTGGAGTGTGATGACTTAATCTCAGTGGAAACTTTTTCTCCCTCCTTTCAAAGAAAAGCATTTCTGAAGGTAGAAAATAGTGAAAGGTAACCTTTAAGTGCCTTTTGAAAATGTATAACAGTCTTATACACTAATATTAATAATTGGAAATGCCTGATTTACATGCATTCTATAAATCTAAGTATTGAATAAAATGAGCCATACCTATTCTTTTGAATCCTGAGTTTCCTTTGGCTTAAAGTATTTTTGAAAATCAAAGTAAGAATTATTTTGTTTTAAAAATTTGTTATGCTTTTAATTTCAGCCTAGACGTAGCCGAGACCTTCACGTTAAGTTATCCTTTATGCCCTCGGGGTTCAGTTCAAATAATGTTGCAGAAAGAGATGAGTTTCCTTTTGTCATTGCTACCAGATCTGTATGCTGAGGCCCCTTTATATCCAGTATGATACCTTTTCTTAGATCATGGAAGGTCTCATATTATCCTTTCCCAGAGCTGTGGCAGGAAGCCATCACCAGAATTCTGAGTCTCAAGTATGTTAGTTGGATTTAACAGAGCTAACTAAGCCTCATCCATGACTCATGAGTATCCATGTATAAAAAGAGAGCTTTGCACTTGCTTCAGCAGCAAACATATACTAAAATTGGAATAAAATGCAGAGAAAATTAGCATGACCCCTGCATAAGGATGATGCACAGATTTGCGAAGTGGTTCATATTTTGTGCAGTTAGGGAAAGTTCATTTGACTATTTGCTGACTGCTCCAAAGAGACAGTATGAGTCAAAGCAAACTGGGTGTCACCTAATATTAACTTTGTGATTTTTCACTACAAAAATATGCAGTAAGGTGATCTATGGAGTGAGAATGGAGGTGGGTAACGTGGGATATTGTGTGCAAATATATTGTTAGTATGTATCTCAGAAATGAGAGAATGTCAACTTGCATCTCTTTCATGGAACTGAAACCAAAAAATAAAAGTAGAATGTTATTTTCCATGTCAGTTGGAGATGAAGATGGGGATTGAGCATTGTTCTAACAAAGATCTACCGATTCAGAGTTTGAGTCTGTGTGGAACAGGAGTTCAGGCTAGGTCTTGACATCTGTTAGCTTTCTGCCCTTGGCGTGATTGATGAGCTCAGTAATAGTGGACAGTGATGTTATCTAGTTTGATGAAATAATATATTTACAAGTGAATTTAGTTACAAACTATGATTTGGAAAATAGCTGTGATGCCCCAAATTATAAGCCACAAAGAACAGAACAACTAATAAGCAAAACTAGAACTTAATAACAATTTCAGAAAACCGCAACGTTTGAATATGAGAACCTCTGAAAAAATACACATTGGGTTTTATTTGGCATTCCAAAACAGTTTCAGCAATAAAGCTCAAGAACAAATTATTTCATTGCTTCACTGTTTCTCTGAGCATTTACAAAACATGATGTCATTAAAAATCTTTAACAACCTAGTGAAAAAAGGCAGTAAAATCCTTGCTTTTTAGAAGAATATGTTGAGCCTAAGAGAAGCAACTTGTCAGAGAACAAATAGCTGCTGGTAATAGAGCTAGGACATTTTCCATTATGCCAAACTAATGTGAGTTAATTTACTGAGCTATACTGCCTTCAATTCATGAGTAATTCATCTTCTTTTCTTCTTTAGAAGCTTAGAGAAGTTGGTAGAACTCACAAATGGAAGCGTGTAGGATAATTAAAGTTCTGATATTAACTCTGATATTGTTTGAAACACTCTAAAAATTTAATATATTTGTTTTAAAATAGTAATTTCATTTATTACATTTTTATCCATAGCCTTCGGCACCTAATTCCTAAATGTAAGATGGAACAGTCACCTGAAAGTCTTCCTCTGAATAACAATCCAGGTAAGACTTTCGATAGTGACTTATTTTTGGTGGTCCTACCATAGATAAAAAAGTAAGAATAAGGAAGTTTTGATCATGAAAGAGCAGGTTAAAAAAATCCCTGTGTGTATAAGTTGTTGTATATTTTTCTGTTAATTTCTTTCTTGGTAGGTTAGATCTCACAGTTATTTAAAAAGTTAATTGCAGGTCATTTATTTTTTTCAAACCAGCTAGTCTGAAAAAAATGTATTTAATAATGGTCCCTAAAATCCTCTATGATATTTTTGTATAAATAAGAAAAAGATATTTTTAAGTTAGTAAGTTGTATGTTTTCTTTATAGTCACATTATAATGAATTAGACTTGTTATGAAATTAGAACTTCTATTGAATTTTTAAAATAAATGACTTATGTTTAGTAAATATCAATCACAGTTGACCCTTAACAACGTGGAATTTAGGGATGCTTGATCCTCTCTGCAGTCAAAAATCTGCGTATCCTCCCATCTCAGCCTCCCAAGTAGCTGGGATTACAGATGTGCACCAAAACACGCAGCGAATTTTTTATTTGTTTTTGTAGAGATGTGGTCTCACTATGTCGCTTTTGACTCCCCCCAAGAACATAACTGCTAAGAGCCAACTGTAGACCAACAGCCTTATTGATAACATAAACAGTCATTTAAGATGTTTGGTATGGTACATGTATTAATATGCTGTATTCTTACAATAAAGAAAGCTAGAGAAATAAACTTAAGAAAATCATAAGGAAGAAAAAATATGCTTACTGTTCATTAAATGCAAGTGGATCATTATATAACTCTTCATCATAGTCTTCAAGTTGGGCAGGCTAAGGAGAAGGAGGAGGAGGAAGATTGGTCTTCGCTGTCTCAGGTGGGAGAAAATCTGCGTATAAGCAGACCCCTGCAGTTCAAATGCGTGTTGTTCAAAGGCTAACTATATTACATAGTGATTTGTGTCACTAAAAAAAAGAAATTAGTTTCAGAACTGGAAACTCAGCAATACCTTTCTGGCACCATAAACAAATGGCAATAAGAACTGCGAAATGGCCAGGTGTGCTGGCCCACACCTGTAGTCCCAGCACGTTGGGAGGCCTAGGTGGGAGGATCACTTGCGTCCAGAAGTTCCAGACCAGCGTGGGTGACATAGTGAGACCACAAAAACAAATAAAAAATTAGCTGGGTGTTTTGGTGCACACCTGTAATCCCAGCTACTTGGGAGGCGGAGATGGGAGCATTGCTTGAGCCTGGGAGTCAAGGCTGCAGTGATCTGTGATTGTGATCACAACCTGGATAACAGAGTGAGACCCTGTCTTAAAACCAACCAACCAAACAAACAAACCAACCTGCAAAACATACCCAGTGTGCACTAATACTAATGGGAAATTATTTTTTAAAGATACCTTCTGAGTGCAGAAGTCAGAAAAGCAATTCCTTTTTGAGAAGAACAGGTCATATTACATACTTACAAACCAACAAGGTCTCACTATTATTGACTTTCCCCCTAATTGGAAATCGAATGAGGTCTATTTACTTCATTAGAACAAGATGTGTTCTTCTACCTGCTGGTTAATTGTTATGTTAACAGTAATTTTGTTAGAACAAGATATATTGTTACCATTAGCCAAAAGATTATGATAATACGTATTCAAATAGCCCAACTCGAGGCTCAACAAATTATAATAAAAGTATAAAAATGTTTCACAATAACAAAAATGCTTCTGTGCTACCGAGATGTGATGCGTAATGCATTGGACAATCTGAACTGTTAGAGGACACCTTTAATTTAGTATATATTAATCAAAGAACTTCTCTAAGTTAGGTTTTGCAAGTCATGGGAGACAAACTTGAAATAGACATAGTTTTGGTCCCTGAGGTGCTCATAATATAATAGAGCTTTCTCTATTTAATTTCTGTGCTTTTTTAACAGAATTTTCAAGGCAATCATTTATTCACTTGTCCACTTAAATAATTATCAAATGTCTTTTAGATACTAAGCATTTTTTTCTAATGTTACAGAATACAAATATTTAAACATACCGTTGGGGCCAGCCACAATGGCACATGCCTGTAATCTCAGCACTTTGGGAGGCTAAGATGGGAAGATCACTTGAGCCCAGGAGTTCGAGATCAGCCCGGGCAACATGACAAGACCTCATCTCTACTAAATTTTTAAAAAAATACTAAAATATTAGCAGGGCATGGTGGCAGGTGCCTGTACTTCCAGCTACCTGGGAGGCTGAGGTGGGAGGATTGCTTGAGCCTGTGTGTTTGAGGCTGCAGTGAGCTATGATCATGCCACTGTACTCCTGTCTGGGTAACAGAGTGAGACCCTGTCTCAAAAAAGAAACAAACAAGCAAGCAAACAAAACCCAGGAGCTTGTTATTATCATTGTCATTTTAATTATTTGCTGAAGTATTTATTCAATGCCTACTACTGTGTGCTAGATGCCCTCTGGAAGCGTATAGTGATCATTTACTATGTTAACTATGTGCCAGACACTTTATGTGATGAGGAATGAAAGCTGTAAAAAAGTGGGTAAGATTTAAGTTAAACATGCAGAATGAGTAGAACTTTTCTAGGTAAAGAGGCAGAAGGATGATGTGGGCAGAAGATTATGTGTTTGGCAGAAGGAGCAGCGAGTGCAAAAGTAAGATGCTTGAGTGAACGCTGCAGGGTTTATGAGCAGTTTAGTTCTGCTAGTGCAAAACGTATGAGATGCGAATGGTTGGGAATGAAGTGAATACCTAA